CGCGGCCCATTTTGGATGCCAGGTAAATGCAGCGCCCACATGGAGGCTCTGGGAGGCAAAAAATGGGCCTCCCGGAGGTTCCAGAAGTCCAGAATGGGGCCCGTTTCCAGCCTCTGGAGGGCCTCTGGAGTCTCGACGAAAGCCTCTGGAGCTTGGGGAGGGTGAAAACACCCTCCCTGCCATGGTGCAGAAGCCCACCATGGCCACACCCACCCAGCAACCGGGCAGAGAACTGGTTGCTAAAATTTTTGAATCCCACCCCTGATTGTAATGCTAACTACCAGGGAGTTGGGCAGTTAAGAAGTTTGATATATAAAATAAATAAATAAATGCTAAGAATCAAGGAGATAGTTTATAAAAAGCCATCTTCAGGCTCTGCTGTTTTCAGTCAAAAGAACCATGACTAGTTCACAGGAAATTTGGAAATGACTAGTTCACAGGAAATCCGGCCCCTAGGGGGAGAGCCTTCTCTGTGGGGACATCTACGATCTGGAACGAGCTCCCCCCAGAGATACGGAGGATCCTGGATCTGCGCACCTTCCGTCGCGCGCTCAAGACTCTCTTATTTAATCAACCTGGCCTGGCCTAAATCTTCTCCCCTTTTAATTTTAAATTTTAATTTGTTTTTAAATTATCGGGTATTTTAAATTAGTTTCAGCCAAATTATTTAATTCGTTTTTATTCTATTTTAAATTTTTGTATTTATGTGTTTTATTGTGGCTGTTCACCGCCCTGAGTCCTTCGGGAGAAGGGCGGTATAGAAATCCAATAAAATAAAATAAAGTTTCTATGTAAACATTGATTGTTTGTTTATGTGCCATCAAGTCATTTATGACTCCTAGTGATCACATAGATTTTTTTCCATGACAATCTGTCACTAGCCTGCTTTTCCAGGTCTCCCAATCAGTGGTGGGTTTCAAAAATTTTTACTACTGCTTCTGTGGGTGTGGCTTGGTGGGCGTGGCTTGGCTTGGTGGGCATCACTTGGTGGGCATGGCAGGAAAAGAATACTGTAAAGTCTCCATTCCCACCCCACTCCATAGAAAGGATACTGTAAAATCTCCATTTCCTCCCACTCAGCTGGGATTTGAGTGGCAGAGAATAGATGGGGGCAGGGCAGTGGTGGGTTGCCCCAGGTTCGCACCGGTTCTATAGAACCGGTAGTAAAACCTGCGGGAGGCTCCGCCCACTGACTCGACATCATCAAAATGCTTCTGCGCATGTGGAGAAGCTTCTGCGCTTGCGCAAAAGAGTGCGCATGCACACAAGCGAAGCAAGTGCGCACGGCCCTGTTGAGAACCAGTAATAAAGGTAAGTAGAACTGGGGCAGGGCCAGTCAGAATTTTTACTACCGGTTCTCCGAACTACTCAAAATTTCTGCTACTCTAGAACTAGTCAGAACCTGCTGAAACCCACCTCTGCTCCCAATGGTGCACTCATCACCTTTATAACTGAGGTCATCCATCTTGATGCTAGTCATCTTCTTCTCTTTCCTTCCACCTTTTCTAACATTAGAGCCTTTTCTAAAGAGCTGAATCTTCACATAATGTGATTGAAGTAAGATAACTTGAGCCTAGTTATTTGTGCCTTAAATGAGAACTCTGGATCATTTTATTTGGTGATCCATTAATTTCTTGGCCGTCCATGATATTCTGAGGAGACTTTTCCAACACCAAAGTTCAAATATTCTTCCTATTCTGCTTCTTCAAAGCCCAATTTTCACTTCAAGAGGGTTACCAAGGCTTGCATGATTCCGATCTTTGCAGGTTTAGACACCTCACGGCATTTGAATTTCTTTTCCAAGGCCTTAATGGCTGCTTTACCAAGTCATGGCTTGTGGTATATTTCTTAACTGCTTGTTCCTTTATATTGACGGTTGATTCTAAAAGACAGAAGTTATCTACCATTTCAATATTTTCATTGCCGGGTGTAAGGCTGGTTGTTATTGGAAGATCAATTAGTTTTAAACGGAAATTCTCATAATCCTGTCCCTTTCATTTCGATAAACCTCACTAACGAAGGCTTTGTGAGAAGCTTGTTGAGGAGAAATATTTTCAGTTTGAAGCAACTGCCTAAACTTGACATTTCACCCAATGCTAAGGCAATATAAAACCTGTTTTCATTATTATTTTGATACAACAATACTTGAATAACTCTAGAAGGTATTTGGGCCTTTTCTTCACTAGTCACTCATATCATCTTCTAGAATCACTCAGCCATAAGAACAATGAAGATAGGCTTCATGCAATCTGCAGAAACAAATATATTCCATGGCAAATTTGAATATATTGTCATGCATGTGGCAGTCAAGCAAGCTGCCATTGTCAGATGCTTTTCCTAACCTCCCTCCCATGCTTTTTTCTTTGAGACTCCTGCTTTAGAGTACAAAACTATGGACAGGGATTTTGTGGGGGCGGGTGGGGGGGGGGGGGGGGGGGCTCATTGGCAGCCTTTATCAGCTGGGAAGGAAAAATGCTTTCCACAAAAAAATAAATATTTAATTATTTTGCCTCTGGCATTTCCAAAGATCAGGAAGGAAAGCCAGCAAATGTTTGTAGATAAAACAGTATACAGGCATCGAAATGCTTGTCACACTTGTCCAATACCTTCTTTTAAAACTGAAAATTGTTTCAGACATTTGAAAAGAAGAAAAAGCTGAGATGTCAAAGGTAAACAGTTCAATTCTAGGGTATTGCTCAAATGTAATTCATCCATCTTAAATAGGTATCATCTTAGAGATATTTCATTTATCGGCTACTTATTAGTTTTTCTACTTGAAATTCCAACCTTTTCTGATGACTTATTTTTAATGAATTTGCTATTGTAATGGTTTTCAGAAAATGGTTTATACAGTTTTCCTCACAAAAGTGTAGTTTTCTTTGCAGGTGGTCTTCAGCTAATAACCATTCAATCAGTATCTGTTCAAAGTTACAACAGTGCTGAACAAGGAGACTTACAGCTGGCCCTTGAACTTGTAAATATCGTAGTATCCCCATCATCATCTGATTGTGATTCAGTGCTTGGCAAATGGCTTGCAATTAAGATGGTCTCAGCATCCCACAGTCATGTGATCACCGTTTGCGACCTTCACAGCTTCCAATAAGAAAAGTCAATGGGGAAGTTGCCAGGAGATAGCAAATGGTGATCATGTGATGTCATGCCTAACAACCTCACACAGGATTTGTCTAATGACTGAAATTGGAACTTCTGGAATTGCAATCATTGGTTGGTGTGGTCACATGACATTGGATTTTATGGCTCTGTCACTTAGTAACAGAGTACCCTGTCCCAATTACCATTGTTAACTGATGACTACCTATATTTCCACTGCTTTAAAGAGGATAAAAGCTGTGTACACTATTTACAACAATTTTCATTTTGCATTCTCATGTATAGATGGCAGGATCTAAACTGAATAGTCAATTGGGCAAGAGTCATTCAGAAGACAGCTTATTTTAAGTGTTTTAAAACAAAGAGGAAGACTGCAATAAAGCTGGAAGAAAAGATATAGATTTTCTATACAGTTTGCTGAATCACCATAGGATGCATTTTCCTTGGGTATTCATTAGGAAACTTTTCTTAAATCTGCTTTCTCTCCTGTGAATAAGGTCTGGACAGATATTGACAACAAACTCAATCTTTTACTATCTTTAACCATTTTAACAAACATTGCTCATCATTTAGTATCTAGTGTCTCTCAGTAAAGCTATGCATCCCTATATGACATCTAACCATCTTATCCAACAGTGAGGCTCATTTCAGCCTACAGGAGATGAAAGTAGTTATTGTACTGATAGAAGGACAACTTTTTCATGCAAGCAATGGTGAAGGAGGAGGAATATATACTGCATCATGTATCTGTGGAACTGTAAATTGTAAAGCAAGCCCTTCCTTTTCTTTCAACAGATATACGTAGTAGACTTTTGACAAGTATCCTTTTAGGTCAAAGTAGTTGACCAGGTAAGATGATTCTATATTAACCTTTCCCAGTTTAATGCTCCTCAGATGTAACGGCCATATTTCTTAGAATTCATTCTTGACTGAAGTTGAAGTTGGTTAGGAATTTAGGAAGAAAAGGCCAGCTATGTGGCAGCACTTAATTGACCTTGACTTATCTTAAAACATTAACTAAGATAGGTATTTGGATGAAAGATCACAAAGGCCATTGGTTGGACCAGAAAGTTGAAAGAAAGAAAAAAAGGAAAAGACATACCAGTTCCATATTGTTGTTTAAAAGAGTCCATAGGTATATGCTGTATATATCATTCAAAATATAGGTATATATCTTAAACTGAAGTCTGCAATATTTTAAGTGTATTACTATGAAGTAGAGCCCACCAAAACCACTTTGGTTATAGAGATTAAGGCAATGGTCTAGAACAGGGGTGTCAAACTCATGTCGTCACAGTGGTGTCATGTGACATATCGGGACTTTTTTTCCCTTCACTAAACCAGGTGTGGGCGTGGCCAGCACATGGCGCATCTGGCCCATGGACCGGGAGTTTGACAGCCCTGGTCTAGAAACTGTGAGTCTGTAAATTCTAGTCCTGCCTTAGCCACAAAGCCAGCAGGATGACCTTGAGCCACTTGCTTCTCTCAGCCCCAGGAAACAGACAATGGCAAACCATTTTCAAAAAACCTTGTCAAGAAAACTGCAGGGATTTGTCCAAGCAGTCACTAGGTTTCAGAACTGACTCAAAGGAACAAACAAACAAAAAAGCCCTACTAAAATAAAAGAATATAAATGTATACAAAAGTTTTGACAAGAATGAAAAGGAAACATAGTCTTCATTTCTTCTGCATCATGAGCATAATCAATCAGCCAATGATTGGGTTGACAAAATAGATTTCTGTGCCTCATTTTTTTTTTCCAAAATAAAACTTTGTACATATTACTTTGAAAATCTGTTTCTGGCTCTCAATAGAATGTCAGGTTGTCACTTGAATCATAAAAGGCCTTCTCCTTTATAGGACTAACTTTTAACTCTGTCTCTCTCCAGGCATCCAAGCTACCACAAGCTGAGAAAAATGGCTTAAGAGGATTTGATGAAAAGGCCTATGTATCATCAAAGCTACTGAAGGCTGGAGAAGACCCTTATCGGCAACATGCTTTCAATCAGTTGGAGAGTGACAAACTGAGCAGTGACCGGCCCATTAGAGACACTAGACATTACAGGTACTGTAGTGCAGACGAGTATGGATTGTGATCCATACTTTGTACCATGGCATCTCTGTGACCTAATCTTTGGGCTATTTTAATTTTGAAGTATTATCTGTATCCCACCTGACAAAGGACTTCTCATCCTTAATGCAGGCTGTTTTATTTATTTTAATATCTGGATATAGTTAAGGTAAAGATGTCACAGAAGATGGAAACATTGTTTAGCATTTAAACAAATCTCTAGAAATGTGACAATGCAATGAACTGGGCCAGATGGTTATGTATATTTAGTTCCTATTAAGGATCCTATTAAATAATAACTAGTAAAAAGCCAAGTAATTAGCTTTTCCATTTTTTTTTCTGCCCTTGATCCTATGTTGTTCCCTTCATTTCAACTCCAGCCCTTGAGTGAAATAAATCAAAGTTATCTTTGGTTGGATCAGCATTAGAAATGTATTATCTTTTTTATTTTGATATGGTCCAATGGCAAACTCAAGATGCATATAAAATCTGTAGGCTTTGTCACCCATCATTTTGGAGGGAATTCAGGTGATTGGCAGGAACTGACAGTTGGGGTGGCCAATAGCAGGGGTCCCTAAGCACTGGTCCGCAGACCAGTCCCGGTCCATGGGCCATTTGGAACCAGGTTGCACAAGTGGTGGGTGAGTGTGTGAAGCCTCATTTGCGCATGCACAGGATTGGGTTGTGTGCATGAAATTTAATTTAATTTAATTTAATTTAATTAATTCAATTTATATGCTGCCCCTCTCTGAAGACTCAGGGCGGCTCACAATACATTTTAAAAAATCATTATAAAAAAAACATTTAAAAATTAAAAACATTAAAAACATTAAAAACTCATTCACACCATTCATGGCCAGATCTCGCCAGATCACAAGAATGAGATCAACGGCTCCAGGCCTGCCAGAAAAGCCAGGTCTTCACCGCTTTTCAGAAGGCCAATAGGGTGGGGATGGTCCGGACCTCAGGAGGTAACTGGTTCCAGAAAGCTGGAGCAGCCACAGAGAACGCCCTCGCCCGCGGGCCCACCAGCTGGCATTATTTAGCTGACAGGACCCGGAGGAGACCAACTCTGTGGGATCTTACCAGTCGCTGGGAGCTATGCGGCAGAAGGTGGTCTCGAAGATAACCTGGCCCTGAAATCATCCCTGCTACCACCTGTGGCCAGTCTGTGGAGCTGCAGTATAGTTTTCTGCTGACTCAAGAAAGGATGACAAACTCTGGAGAAAGGGTCAATGAGTTTGTAATTGCCTGAACAGCTGATCTAATCTTTCTTCCTGGATTTGTAGTTTATCAGATATATATAAATCCCTGCTGTTGTTTTTTTTAAAGAGCTAATCTAAAATCATGGTGACTCTTCTGTTCCTTTGCTTTATAAGGAAGACTCTCCAATATTTTTAGCCAGAGAAAGAACAGCTCATAAAATGTCTGAAACTCTCTAGATAAGAAAAGCCATTTTTAAAATCTGTCCTGAGGTAACATCATTTCTGCCTCATCACAATTAAGAAACCCAGCTTTACAATTGTAAATGATGAGTCGTCAGAAGTTTCTAACTTCTGAGCTGAAAGAAGGACTGTTGGCCTTATAGGAGGCCAATATATAGGAGGAAGGGATAACCACAGGTCCGTAGAATTTCAGTTTTATGGCGATATGGATGTTGTGTTGATTAAGCATTTTAGTACACAGCTGCCCCAGTGCCTGGCTGACATTATTGATCCTGGAGTTAATTTCTTTGTCCAAAGACTCATTATTTGAGATGGTTCTTCCCAAGTATTTGAAGCTGTTATTTGTCAGCTTGATGTTGTCAACAGTGAATTTTGGTCCTATGGGCTTGTTATCTGGTATGGGATTTCAGTCTTGCTCAGGCTGATAATCAGGCCGAGGGCATAGTGGTATCTAAGAATTTGTTCACCATTAACTGTAGATCATTGTCTTTGTGCCCTAGAAGCTTAAAGTCATAGCAAAATGGATTTCTTGAATGACTGTATGGAGGCACTTCATCCATGCATTCAACTGGGGTCAAAAAGATCAAAAAGAGAGTCATCCAATCAGTGCTTGATGTACACTTATTTCAGATAGCATGTGACAACATGCAAGTAAAAAACAGATTGAATAGGACTGGGGCTAGCACACAACCCCATTTAATCTCACTGGAAATGACAAATGCAGCTAATATATCAATTTTGTAAAAAATAAATACCCTGTTCTTTCATTCCATTGTGTAGTAGCTGAATCAACTTTTCAAATTCCTTGGGCATCCACAATGTCTCAGGATAATCCAGAAGCCCTCCTTGTTTACAATGTCAAATGCCTTTCTCAGGTCAATGGAGAAATGGAACAAAGAGGCTTGTTCTGCTTTATGCACTTTTCTGACTTGCCTCATGGCAAATATATGCTGAAAGCTGTACTGCACCTCTGGGAGGTCCCTTTTTGAAAAAGGGACAAGTCTGTTTAGAAGAATGTGGGCAAAGATCTTGCCTGTGAGAGACAGCAGTAAGATACTTTTGTAATTTCTACAGTCTCATTTGGTTCCCTTATTTTTATAGAGAACCACAATGAAGTCATCAGGCATCTCATCTGTGGACCAAATGTCTTCCAAAGGTCTTGAATGCCTGCAAGGTGTTTGGGTCTAATGCTTTGTAGATCTCAATAGAAAAGCCACCCTGCCCTGTTGTTTTATTTGAGCTCATCTGCAAGTTCGCTTTCCTGGTCTCCTCAGTAGAGGGAGGGAGGCAGATCTAGGGCATACAAGACTGGCAGCTGTAAGACCAACTGTGGACAGCCTTTGAGTAAGTTGGAAAAGTGTTTGGCTCAGTGGTTTTTCAGTCTTTCCTGGTCTTTGATTAGGTTCGATGCATTAATGATAGCAAGGGGAGCATCCTGATTTAGAAGGATCATAAACTGACTTTATGGCACTTGAAGGACTCTGTGATGGCATGCACACCTGCAAAATGTTCCACCTTCTCAGCTTTCCTCTGCCACCAGCCTTACTTGCAGATCTCTGTGTGCTTTGGACAGCAGGTACTTAAAATTGTCTTTCTTTGAGACAGATGATGGATCATTCTGCCAGTTTGCCTAGGCCTTGTTCTTGACCTGGAGGGCTGCTGAAATGGTTTTGCGGTTTTCATCAAACCAGTCTTGATGGGCCCAGGTTTTCAGTCCAAGTACAGTTGTTGCAATCTGGTTGATGACATCTTTAAATTATGTCCACTTTTCAGAACAGGTTTCTAGAAGCCATAAATGGCTTTATGGCCTGGGCATTTGAAGGACTATCTATTTCCTGTAGTTTCTGCCCATCATGGATAATGGACTGTAGTTGGCATGCTTTGGAGCCCATCAATTAAGTGATGGATCTTCTCTGGCACTGTGCCTGTAGTCTGGAACAGCATTCCCCCAGACATTGGTATGGCACCTATTTGGCCCTTGTTTACATAGACTGTAAAAACTGAGTGTTTCCCCCAGGCCTTGGGAGATCTTTAATGGGAATGCTTTATGTTTGGGACATACATTTTATTGTCTTTTTGACATTTATTTCTTATTTTTGTTATAATGTTTTGAACTGTTTCTAATACTGTATATCATCCCCAGTTGTTATGGAATCAATCAGATTTAGACAATTAACAAAAGTGCAAAACAAAGAATCCCTTCCTAAAATGCAACTGACCCAAGTTATTTGGGATCGGCCCCGGGGCTAACAATAATCCAGAAAAGTAGATCCCGGTACCAATACTAATATTTTGCAACAAATTCTCAGGAATTGTCTGTCTGCAACATCTATGCTTATCACACAATTTTGTCGCAGGGGTGGAATCTCCCCTGGGCTCTTGTTTCAGCTGTGACAGCATCAGTGAATTCCTCAGAAAATCTAGGCTACATTGAAATTAATTCAAATTATGCTTTGGATTCTATGTTCACAGCACAGCTGTACAGTCAGAATTTCCCCCTTTTTTTATAGAGTTTGCTGCTATAGATTGTGTCCAAATTGGAGACCATTTGTGAGTTTTAGTCTAGCCTTAGGCATGAAAAAATCAGCTGGGTAACTTTGGGCCAGCTGCTCATTTCACAGTTGTTGTGAGGAGAATAGGAGGAATGATAAATGCTAGCATGTTTGCTACCTTAAGCTGTATATAAAAAGGAGGATTAAACAAAGCCAATTGCCCATCCTTGCAGGTCAGCAGGTGTGCTGTAGGTCAGGTATGTAGCCTTGGCTTTGCATGATAGAAGTTGAAGGTTTAATTCCTGATTTCTGAGAATAACTCCAATAAAAAATCTGGGTTGCTTTGCCTATCAGAGTAGACAGCATACTGCTATTCTAGAACATCGGCTTCTGAGAAATTATCTGAAATTGGCATTGGGTTACTTTTAAAATCCCTTTAGATAGGGATAGATAGATAGATAAAAATTATCTATCTTAGGCTTTCGTTCCCCTAATTTGCAGTCAACCTGAGCTTTTAATATTTCTGATGAGCATCAGGTTGGCAAAGGCTATGCTCAGAAAAAATGTTTCTGTGCATACATGTGTTTCAAAACTAACTGGCAAGGTCTTCAGAGGTATAGCAACTATTCTTTTCTTCTCATAATCTGAGTAATTTAACCTGTCTGGGTAATTTAGCATTATGGAGAATGAATGATTCTTCCAAATACATTAATTTTCTATCTTTTCAGCCAAAAGTGTGTAATTACCTGTTTTCTGCAACTCTTTGTTTTTAAATGTCCCAGAAAGTTCCTGATAGATCAAATAACAAAGGATACAATCATATTTCAAATTACTTTTGACACAATTTTTAGTATTTGTCTTCTTCCATAACTAGCAGTCCTATAACTGGTTTTCCACATTTATAAAAATTACTTCTTAATTATAGCACATTGCTTCAATTTGCCAAATGTTATATAGACCCTTCAGTTGATTCGAAAAATGAGATACCATTGTTCCAGCCATGAAAATACCTTAATCTATTTATTCAATTTATATTTCCTCTACAATTGTTCTCAAG